TCCTATTCTTTTGGAATATAAATTTCCAATCCAGTTCCAATTTGTTGCTGAGACCAACATTTGTGAATGTATCTATAGCAGTAAAAAAGTATGTGCTGGATTTTAACCATGTATATTCCTGCTTTGGGAATAAGCACCGCTTCCTTTTTGATACAACAATCACGAAAATCAGTATCATGATTATCATAGTCAGGGTCCAGACTGACAACAGGACTACCAGAGTCAGAGGCTGGACTGACAACAGAACTACCAGAGTCAGAGGCAGGACTGACAACAGGACTACCAGAGCCAGGGTCCGGACTGACAACAGGACTAGTAGAGCCAGGGTCCGGACTGACAACTGGACTACCAGAACCAGGGTCCGGACTGACAACATGACTACCAGAGCCAGGGTCTGGACTGACAACTGGACTACCAGAACCAGGGTCCGGACTGACAACATGACTACCAGAGCCAGGGTCTGGACTGACAACTGGACTACCAGAACCAGGGTCCGGACTGACAACAGGACTACCAAAGCCAGGGTCTGGACTGACAACTGGACTACCAGAACCAGGACTGACAACAGGACTACTGGAGTCAGGACTGACCCGAATATTGGTAGAGTCAGGGTTCGGACTAACTACAAGGTCCAGACTGCCGCGAGGACTAACAAAGGCAGGCACATGAGCATTTTCTGGGCTACCACACCCAACCACGAGTTCAGCCTGAGGCCACTTAGACTTGCTATAGCAGTGTACAATTTGTAAAACGAACACAATTGACGACAACAAGCATGCAGCCTAAATCATTCTGAATAACACTTCAATAAGTAAAATAACATTATTATCCATTACTAGAAAAAAAAAATAATAATAATAATAATAATAATATTAATAATAATAACAATAATAATAATAATATTAATAATAATAACAATAACAATAACAATAATAATAACAATAATAACAAAACAATAACAATAATAACAAAACAATAATAACAGAGCAACAGTAACACCAACAAAAACAAAAACAATAATAATAATAATAATAATAATAATAATAATAATAATAATAATAATAATAATAATAATAATAATAATAATAATAATAATAATAATAACAACAACAACAATAATAAAAAATAACAATAATAATAATAATCTTGAATAAATTGAAAGAAATGAAAACAAAAAGTTAAAGTATCCGCCCCCTTTTGCGAATCTTCTCCCGCGAACGTATCTTAGGACCACGAATGCCACAAACAAAACACCGGCACTTCTACGCCCAGTGCCCTTTTTACTGCTAGACCCCCCCCCCCATCTATCCAGGCTTGCCACTGTTCGACTCCCGCGGTGGCTGGGTTAACAATAATAACCATTATCATCATCACCATATATATGTGTGTGTGTGTGTGTGTGTGTGTGTGTGTGTGTGCGTGCGTGCGTGCGTGCGTGTGTGTGTGTGTGTGTGTGTGTGTGTGTGTGTGTGTGTGTGTGCGTGTGTGTGTGCGTGTGTGCGTGCGTGCGTGCGTGCGTGTGCGTGCGTGTGTGTGCGTGTGTGTGTGTGTGTGTGTGTGTGTGTGTGTGTGTGTGTGTGTGTGTGTGGGCGTTTGTGTATGTGAGATTCATAGGACCACCTGCCGCTGACCTGACCCTCAGCTGCAGAGAGAGGTCAGCCCCAGGTGTGTGTGTGTGTGTGTGTGTGTGTGTGTGTGTGTGTGTGTGTGTGTGTGTGTGTGCGTGTGTGTGTGTGTGTGTGTGTGTGTGTGTGCGTGTGTGTGTGCGTGTGTGCGTGCGTGCGTGCGTGCGTGCGTGTGCGTGCGTGTGCGTGCGTGTGTGTGCGTGTGTGTGTGTGTGTGTGTGTGTGTGTGTGTGTGTGTGTGTGTGTGTGTGTGTGTGTGTGTGGGCGTTTGTGTATGTGAGATTCATAGGACCACCTGCCGCTGACCTGACCCTCAGCTGCAGAGAGAGGTCAGCCCCAGGCCCTGGAGGCCCACTGCAGGCGGCCACGCCCCTGGGCAAGGCAAAGGGAAAAATGACCAGTGTCCCCAGGCCCTGGGGGCCCACTGCAGGCGGCCACGCCCACGTGAAGGTCGGGCACTGGCAGTTTCTTTAGCCACGCCTCTGTGGCTCCGCCCCTACTTATTCTCCAAGGATGACCCTGGCGCGGTCGAGGTCACATCTGACCTGGGCTGGGCCGCCAGTGACCCCAGGCGACCCTCCAGCCGACCGCATGATACCAAAGTGTCATCCTTGTATTACAACTACGTGTGCTAACTCTTATCAATAAAAGAGATTTAAGCCACAAAGATTTTACTATTCCCTGTCACCAATGTTTAGAGGGCCTTATGTAAACTCTGACAGTGTATGTAGGCCTGTATGTGTATGTGGGCGTGTGTTGGCCATGTATGTGTGTGTGGCCATGTATGTGTGGTGTGTGTGGCCATGTATGTGTGTGTGGCCATGTATGTGTGTGTGGCCATGTATGTGTGTGGGGGGACATGTATGTGTGTGTGGGGGGACATGTATGTGTGTGGGGGGACAGGTATGTGTGTGGGGGGACAGGTATGTGTGGGGGGACATGTATGTGTGGGGGGCATGAATGTGGGGGGATGTATGTGTGGGGGGCATGTATGTGGGGGGGGGGATATATGTATGTGTGTGGGTATATGTGTGTGTGGGTATATGTGTGTGTGGGCATATGTGTGTGTGTGGGCATATGTGTGTGTGTGGGTATATGTGTGTGTGGGTATATGTGTGTGTGGGCATATGTGTGTGTGGGTATGTGTGTGTGGGTATATGTGTGTGGGCATATGTGTGTGTGGGCATATGTGTGTGGGTATATGAGTGTGTGGACATGTATGTGTATGTGTGGGCATGTGTGTATGTGTGGGCATGTGTGTATGTGTCGGCATGTGTGTATGTGTGGGCATCTGTGTATGTGTGGGCATCTGTGTATGTGTGGGCATATGCGCGCGCGCGCGCGCGCGCGCGCGCGCGTGTGTGTGTGTGTGTGTGTGTGTGTGTGTGTGTGTGTGTGTGTGTGTGTGTGTGTGTGTGTGTGTGTGTGTGTGTAGGCGAATGGGCGACGAGTCTGGCCTGCGCTCTTTTCTGCCATGCATGTTGCAATCTTTATTGTTCAGTGCGGGGTTGGGGACAGCAGCACTTTGGCTATATGTATACACTAAACAGCTTCTGCTATTATGAAAGACCACTATCAATAGTTACATGATTTAACAAATATTACTCCTTACCTTTCAGGTCGATGTTGACAAGTTCCTTTTGAAATGCAATTGTTCACATATAACTGTAGTTCTTTGGAGCATGTTCTGTACGTTCTGTTCACGTATGATACGGGACAGAAAAGACCCGTTTTCTTTCATAGCGTCGATGGCAGACTAAAACATTCTCGCGCATTAGTGTTGCTAATATCATATAGACATTTTATGGTAAGATGCCTAGATGACATTTATCTATTTGTTACAGCATAGTGTGTGTGATAGATGAAAAGAATGCAGGTACGCGCAAATAAAGTCAAATAACCAGGCTGAATCTCGCGTACGTGTAAGCAAGCTTGAGGTAGACCGAGAAAACCATTCCTTAACAATATTAAACAAACACTTCGATGCCCGACAAGGCGCCAGATAGTTCGGCAAACACAGATATAAAGACACATATACATGTGTGTGTGTGTGTGTGTGTGTGTGTGTGTGTGTGTGTGTGTGTGTGTGTGTGTGTGTGTGTGTGTGTGTGTGTGTGTGTGTCTGTGTGTGTGTGTATGTCTGTGTGTGTGTGTGTGTGTGTGTGTGTGTGTGTGTGTGTGTGTGTGTGTGTGTGTGTGTGTGTGTGTGTGTGTGTGTGTGTGTGTGTGTCTGTTTGTGTGTGTGTCTGTTTGTGTGTGTGTCTGTTTGTGTGTGTGTCTGTTTGTGTGTGTGTCTGTTTGTGTGTGTGTCTGTTTGTGTGTGTGTCTGTTTGTGTGTGTGTCTGTATGTGCGTGTGTGTGTCTGTATGTGCGTGTGTGTGTCTGTATGTGCGTGTGTGTGTCTGTATGTGCGTGTGTGTGTCTGTATGTGCGTGTGTGTGTCTGTATGTGCGTGTGTGTGTCTGTATGTGCGTGTGTGCGTCTGTATGTGCGTGTGTGTGACTGTATGTGCGTGAGTGTGTCTGTATGTGCGTGTGTGTGTCTGTATGTGCGTGTGTGTGTCTGTATGTGCGTGTGTGTGTCTGTATGTGCGTGTGTGTGTCTGTATGTGCGTGTGTGTGTCTGTATGTGCGTGTGTGTGTCTGTATGTGCGTGTGTGTCTGTATGTGCGTGTGTGTGTCTGTATGTGCGTGTGTGTCTGTATGTGCGTGTGTGTGTCTGTATGTGCGTGTGTGTCTGTATGTGCGTGTGTCTGTATGTGCGTGTGTGTCTGTATGTGCGTGTGTGTGTCTGTATGTGCGTGTGTGTGTCTGTATGTGCGTGTGTGTCTGTATGTGGGAGTGTGTGTCTGTATGTGCGTGTGTGTGTCTGTATGTGCGTGTGTGTGTCTGTATGTGCGTGTGTGTGTCTGTATGTGCGTGTGTGTGTCTGTATGTGCGTGTGTGTCTGTATGTGCGTGTGTGTCTGTATGTGCGCGTGTGTGTCTGTATGTGCGTGTGTGTGTCTGTATGTGCGTGTGTGTGTCTGTATGTGCGTGTGTGTGTCTGTATGTGCGTGTGTGTGTCTGTATGTGCGTGTGTGTGTCTGTATATTGCGTGTGTGTGTCTGTATGTGCGTGTGTGTGTCTGTATGTGCGGGTGTGTGTCTGGTCTGTATGTGCGGGTGTGTGTCTGTATGTGCGGGTGTGTGTCTGTATGTGCGTGTGTGTGTCTGTATGTGCGTGTGTGTGTCTGTATGTGCGTGTGTGTGTCTGTATGTGCGTGTGTGTGTCTGTATGTGCGTGTGTGTGTCTGTATGTGCGTGTGTGTGTCTGTATGTGCGTGTGTGTGTCTGTATGTGCGTGTGTGTGTCTGTATGTGCGTGTGTGTGTCTCTGTGTGTGTGTCTCTGTGTCTGTATGTGTCTGTGTGTGTGTGTGTCTCTGTGTCTGTATGTGTGTGTGTGTGTGTCTCTGCGCGCGCGCGCGCGCGCGTGTGTGTGTGTGTGTGTGTGTGTGTGTGTGTGTGTGTGTGTGTGTGTGTGTGTGTGTGTGTGTGTGTGTGTGTGTGTGTGTGTGTGTGTGTGTGTGTGGGTGGGTGGGCGGGCGTGTGAGTGTGTGAGGTTTGAAAGTTCAAATGTATGTATAAGTTTTAAAAACGTGTGTGGGGGGGGGGAGTGGGCGACAGGTCTGGCCTACGTTTTTTCCTGCCTTACATACGTTTTGTGCAACCTTTGTTGTACAGGGCGAGGTGGGGGGCAACAGCCACTCATGGGGGACTGTAGGGGGTATTGTTCCTTGCATTTGACAATATATTGACTAATTTTCTGCATATTATTTCCTCGACATCATTTCTATATATTAGCTAGTAGAGGGTGAGAGGAATGCATCCCTGCAAATATAGACGTGATCTGCCATTCCGAATATTCACCCAAACATATAATGTTTAATTCACTAATCACATCACTCTTCCTTAACATATACACTTTCGCGATATGTATACACTTGGTAGCCGCCGCTATTTTGAAAAGATACATGAAAAGAATCATTAGATACATGATTCAACAAAATTTCATACTCCTTACTTTTCAAGTCGATATTGACAAGTTCCTTTTGAAATGCAATTGTTCACATATAACTGTAGTTCTTTGGAGCACACATTCCTGGACGATGAATGTCTTCAGTGCCAAGGATTACTGCATTTTCTCACAAAATCAAAATGCAACGTCTGCGCAACAACAAAATCTGTACGTTCTGTTCACGTATGATACGGGACAGAGAAGACCCGTTTTCTTTCATAGCGTCGATGGCAGACTAAAACATTCTGCAATCGCATTCTCCCGCATTAATGTTGCTTGTAATAATATATAAACATTTTGTGGTAAGATGCCTAGATTACTATCATCTATTTGTTACATCATAGTGATTGTGTTAGATGAAAAGAATGCAGATACGCGGAAACAAAGACAAAGAACCAGGTTGAATCTCACACACACACAATGTGCACGCATACATATATAAACACACACACAGATTATATATATAATATATATATATATATATATATATATATATATATATATATATATATATATATATATATATATATATATATATATACACACACACACATATATATATATATATATATATATATATATATATATATATATATATATATATATATATATATATATATATATATACATATATATATATATATATATATATATATATATATATATATATACATATATATATATATATATATATATATATATATATATATATATACATATATATATATATATATATATATATATATATATATATATATATATATATATATATGTATATATATATGTATATATATATATATATATATATATATATATATATATATATATATATATATACGTATATATATATATATATATATATATATATATATATATATATATATATATATATACGTATATATATATATATATATATATATATATATATATATATATATATATATATATATATATATATATATATACGTATATATATATACATATATATATATATATATATATATATATATATATATATATATATATATATATATATGTATATATGTATATATATATATATATATATATATATATATATATATATATATATATATATATATACATATATATGTATATATATATATATATTATATGTATATAATATATATATATATATATATATATATATATATATATATATATGTGTGTGTGTGTGTGTGTGTGTGTGTGTGTGTGTGTGTGTGTGTGTGTGTGTGTGTCTGTGTGTGTGTGTGTGTGTACATATATATATATATATATATATATATATATATATATATATATAGGCATATATATATATTTTTTTTTTTTTTAACAGCCATTCATTCCACTGCAGGACATAGGCCTCTCTCAATTCAGTATTGAGAGATTATATGGCAGTGTCACCCTTGCCTGATTGGATGCCCTTCCTAATCAACCGCGGTTCGGCGCGTTAACACTTGTGCCACGGCGGTGACTTCCCCTACAACACCTGCGGTTGACTTCTCTAACCGATATGTCGGTTTCTCGGACTCCAGGTAGCAGTCAGAGCGCAGGCATTTTTACGACCGCCGCGACAGGGAATTGAACCTGAGTCCAGTGCTCTAACCACTGAGCTATACATATGTATACATATATATATGCATGGTATATATATATATATATATATATATATATATATGTGTGTGTGTGTGTGTGTGTGTGTGTGTGTGTGTGTGTGTGTGTGTGTGTGTGTGTGTGTGTGTGTGTGTGTATGTGTAATTTGTATATTCTTCTAAGATGACAAATTCATAAAGTGACGAGTATCAAGTAATGGCCGGATATTGATAAATACACACAAAAACGGCATTGGCATATTAACAGAAATAAAATGACATTACCATCATCGTTACTAAAACTATATATATATATATATATATATATATATATATATATATATATATATATATATATATATATAAGCGAGCTTGAGGTAGACCGAGAAAAACATTCCTTAGCAATATTAAACAAACACGACGCCCGACATGAAACATGGCACAGAAAGATAAGATACGTACATGCATATGCGTGTGTGTGTGTGTGTGTGTGTGTGTGTGTGTGTGTGTGTGTGTGTGTGTGTGTGTGTGTGTGTGTGTGTGTATGTGTGTGTGTGTGTGTGTGCGTTATATATCTGTATATGTTAATTGTATGTAAACATATACACATAGGGTATACATTTAATTATCTGAACTGTTGTTAGTGCACAACGAGACGAAGGCTGTTCATATGTCCTTTTTACATTGATGAAATGGTAGCGTGGGGAAATTTAAGGTCTTATGGGAAAATCTTCTTGATCATTTATACTGAAACTATTTATACTTTTTTTAGATGTTTGTAAAAGAAAGGCAGGCATAGCTTCGAAAGATCGCAAAAGAAAATCCACACAGGATAGAACATATATTCCCTTTCATTGTTAATACCACACAGGTACACAATACTGCAGAACTTAACTTAGATAAGAGTTAAAAGGGGCTGCCGATTTTTTCTTCTGCTCAGCCGCTTTCCTTTGTCCCCCAACCTTGCCTTGCCTGGCCTGTGCCTGAGGCTGTCACGGAATTCCAGGCGAACGATCTCGGACGGTAGTTACGAGGGCCACGTGATAGGAAAAGGGGTCGTTTGTCGGGTTAACGCCGTGAGATCTCCGTACTCGCAGTCTGTCTCATGTAATGAGGTGTAAATATATGAAAGATGGAATAATGCAATGCCTCGCTGATATAGTACTGGTCCTCAGAAACTCAGGGTGTACTTCATCCAGTTTCATGAATAAAAGAGATTGTAACTCACAATGGAGTCTTGGGTATTCTGACTCGACATTTTTTGCGGAAAGAAATAATGAAATGGTGATGAAGGCAAGAAATTTCAATAGATATAAATACAAAATATGTATAAGGTTTGAAAGTTCAAATGTAAAAATACAAACTATATGTATGACTTTGATAATGAAAGAGGTATGTATAAGTTCTAAGAATACAAAATGTATGTCAAAGTTGTAAAAATACAGAATATATGCATAGGTTCAGAGAATTTAAGATATGTATAAGTTTTGAAATAAAAATGTTTTAAAAATGCAAAATATATGTAAAAGTTTAGAAAAAAAATGTATATTAAAGATACAAAATATTTGTATAAGATTATAATATACAAAATATGTATATAAGTTTTAAATATACAATATATATTTGTTTTGAAAAATCAAAATATATGTAAGAGTTTTAAAAATGTAAAAGATATGTCTAAGTTTCAGATATACAACATATATATAAAGACATTACATCCGGAGTGCCCCAGAGTCTAGATTAGATGCACTATAGTTCACACTTTTTGGAAGTGAGTGGGGACTGCTGAGTCCTCGGGTGTGGGAGGCAAGGCCTGTCCTGTGGGCGAGTCTGAGGAGGTGACGGCTACGCATGGGCAGGATCATCATCATCATTTGGGAGCTAACGCCGGTCGGGGTGAATAGCCGCATCCACCCCTTGCTTCCACATACGAGGATCCCTCATGGCGAGCCGCCAGGCAGGGGCCCGGCCCATCTCTAGTTCCTCACGACAGGTTTGATCGATCTGCCCAAGCCACGACCTTCTCGGTCGTCCCACAGGCCTCCTCCACCCAGGGTTGTCATGGACAGAGACAACCTGATGGGCAGGATCATCCTGCGGGAATCGAGCCAGGTGGCCATATAGCCTGAGTTGGCAATCACGGATTGTGCAAGTAACAGGTCCTGTATCGGTCTCACAGTGTAGCTGTTGGTTGGACACATGCTCCTGCCAACTGAACCCCATGATCCGGTGCAAGGATCTGTTACAAAAGGCATCAAGACGAGATTCCAAAGCACAAGATAGCATCTAAGTTTCACTACCATATAGTAAAACTGGCAGTATCAGGGCCTTGAAAACACGTAGCTTGGTCCTTCTGCACAGGTACTGGCATCTCCAAATACTCTTGTCGAGAGATTTCATGACCCCTGCTGCCAGGCTAATCCGTCTACTGACTTCCTGGTCTGACAGCCCAGAGTCATGAACTGCACTACCGAGGTATATAAAGCTATTTGTGACTTCGATGTTTTCACCGCAAGCACGTACCGATTGCACAGGGTCTCCTAGTAGGCCCCCAAAATCCTGGATCTTGGTCTTGGTCCAGGAGACCTCTAGCCCCAAGGGCTTCACTTCATTGCTAAATGCATCAAGAGCCGCCACTAGGGTTTCCAGAGATTCAGAAAGAATGGCAACATCATCAGCAAAGTCAAGGTCTGTAACCTTGATATTGCCCAGAGTTGCTCCACAGTGACTTTGGACAGTAGCTCTACCCAGTATCCAAACCATGCAAGTGTTGAAAAGTGTTGGTGCAAGAACACAGCCTTGCCTCACGCTTGAACTAACAGGAAAGAAGCTCGACAGGCCCCCACCACACTTTACAGCACTTTCAGTGCCTGTATACAGGTTTGAGAGGAATTCCAACAAGGATTGTTGGACTAATAGCAGTCTCAGGATCTCCCAGGGTGATTCGCCTTCTTGAGGTCGATGTAGGCTGCGAGCAGCCCGCGTCCGAACTCACGACGGCGCTCTACAATGACTTGAAGCGCCAGGATGCGGTCTATTGTGGACTTACAAGGAGTGAATCCAGATTGCTTGAGGGATGACCACACCCCTCAGCAGGTCAGGGGAAATGGTACCGGTCCGCCAGATGGCAGATAGGACTGCATGCAAGCCCCTTGCCATAGGTTCTCCACCAGCTTTAAACAATTCAGCTGGGATGCCACAAACACCTGCTGCTTTACCACTCTTCAGCTTGGAGATCGCCCCATTGACTTCAGTCAGGGAGGGTGGATCCTCGCTGATGGGTGGGTCTGGCAGAGGAGTCTCAACATTACCAGCATCCAAGTTAACTGTTGGTGGATCAACCTAATACAACTGCTCAAAATAGTTGTGGTAACCGATCGTCCTATCGCAGGGAACGGACGTTCCAAGCCCCCACCCTGAGAGCCCGCCTGAGGTCTAACATCTGGCAGTCACTCCAGATGGGCGCCACCTCTGCCACCCCTACCGACGCCGCCCCATATAGAGGTTGGCTGGCTGCAGGTCCCATAATCCGCCTGCAGGTCTCCCCGGGGCTTTCCCCCCACAAGCATCACGCCATGGGCAGGATAAAGGAGTGTTAAAGTAAGACTTGACCTTATTTGACCTCCCTCGTTTCCTGGAGAAGGCCTATGACATAAGCTGGAAAGAAGGTATGGCGTGGGTGCCTCTTCTAACAAGCCACTCAGTATGTCTTAAATATCATGAAGGTGTGGCATCAAGCATACCTCCCTCTATACGCAATACCCCCCCCCCCCCAATCCCTTGGTTGTTGTTGTCGTGGAGGCTTTAGGAGCCGGGGCTGAGGCCCAATGGAGTGGATCAGCCCTGCCTTGGACCTCAGCCCTCGCCTCAACTAATTTTGCATGGCCTTTTCTTCTCCTCCTTTGCTTTTCCTTCTCTTCTTCTTCCCCTTCCTCTGCCCACTTATCCTAACAGTTAACTCATTTTTACCCTTTTCGACACATTTTTTTTTTTTTTTTTTTCGCGAAGATTCGCGAAGAAGAGCCTCGTCCGGGCTATGCCTATTTGGGGAGCCCGGTTCTTTGACACAATACTTTATCATAGTGTTATATGAATTTTGATGTCTCGCACATGTATTTGTTTTAACCACTAACCATTCTGGGAATCCACAAACATCGCCTTATGAACAAAAAAAAAAAAAAAAAAAAAAAAAAAAACTTCCTTACCATATATATATATATATATATATATATATATATATATATATATATATATATATATATATATATATATATATATATACTGTTTATATACATATCAAATATATACGTACTGTATATATATATATATATATATATATATATATATATATATTATATATATATATATATATATATATATATATATATATAATTATAATAATAAACTGCTGCTACTGTTCACGTAGTCTGCTACACCTCCACCGCTATCCAAGATTACCGCATTTTGCCAGACGCAGATGCACTTTACCGCTCATTGGCCTCACTTTAAGTGTGTGTATGTGTATTTTGAATATGTATACATATATAGTATATATATAATATGTAGACAATTATATACTCAGAATGTATTTTTTCTATGAGCGGACGATCAAGAAAATCACATCATTAACGGAAAAGGGATAGAGTACTAAAATAAATCAAACACAATAATATGATGTAGCATACTCAATGTAGAGTCTGATTTTGAAATCGCTATTTAGACTGTCATCTATGTTCTCGTATATAAATATGGGAATTAGGAGTAGAATAAATTGACCAGGTTTAGGCTATCTTGCCGTTTATTTATATCAATTCTTTCACAGAGCCTTGCTAGGGGACACGAGCTTATACACAAATCATTTTCCTATCTCTAATTGATGAAACTTCATATGAACATATACTCTAAATTGAATTTTAATTAAAATTTAACAATTAAAATTTCCTCCAAATGCATAACATGGCCGGTGGAAGGGGTTACTTTTCTCAAAGGATATGATCACTGGTTCCCTACCCCCTTACTTTTGAGGCTTTATTCCTCTACACATGAAACATAATATTCAATATTCATTAATAACATTGCTAATGTACTAGAAAGTCCAATTGCAAATTTAAATCATGCTGTGCTCTCTAAATAAAGTATCATAAAAAGTATCAGAAGTCACAATCACAATTTCGTATCAGCAGCATCAGGACAGCTATACAGTTAGCGAGATTGACATCGGTCTGTTAATTAACTGTACTCGCTCCAAATTCCCACATACCTAAATTCTTTCAACCCCTTATTTGCCCAGAAACAAACAAACAAGCACAACATATTTTAAACTAAAATATAAATACAGACTATAATAAATGGTAATTAACATTTTTTTTCTACGAAGGTCGGAATACGCGGTACCATCACTCACAGTAAGCTATCCACGTAGATAAATGGATAAGAAATAGCCTATATAATTTACACTTTTTAAGGTAAACCACACTTAAAAAACCACATGCGAATCTATCAACAGTAAGTTCATCTGTAGGCATGACACAATCAACACTAGCCTCTCCACAAAGTTAATATCCAGGATATTACAACACAAGACTTTAGAATTTACAATATTTTAAAAATGAACAGTGAAAACATTGCCAGAAGGACATAATACATGAAATGGTGGAGATTTTACTTCACTTCATCTTTTGCAGTCTGTTGTAATAGACACTTCTAAATTACAGAATGCATTGTGATTAGATATTCAGGATAGTAATGATTCTTGTCACATTTAACGATAACTGTAGGCTTGGATGTGTTGTCTACGACGGTATCATACCCTTTTAACAAAGGTTGCAGTATGGGACCCTTCGTTTTGGAGGTCACCAAGACACGCACGACAAACAGATACTGAAAGGTAGCCCTATAGCCCTCAATGTTCTTACATGCCACAGATGGATCTGTGTAGAAATGAATTCCTTGACCATATTTCATGTTGGTAGTAGCCTCATGATCTTTCCAATCAAAGTTGGCAGAACATATACTACCCCTAAGTGAACTTCGAATGGCTCTTGAATACTTGGAGATCTTCCAATGAGGATACTCTGGAATCAGCCTTCAGTGATTTTTTCGTGCACTGGAAATTCCGCCACAGCTGAGGATTTTGAATTCGCCTGATCCTAACAATCTTTAAGCCTTCTGTGGCAAGTGGTCTCTGAATTAGCGCTGCTATTTTCAGGTATTCACTAGACGATGTTGATAAAAGAAATTGTACCATTTGCGTCTCAGGGTACATGGGAGTCCATGTGTGGGGTAATAAGGGTGTCTCTTTCTTTACGTCAAGATGATGGCTTGGTCGGCGGCGAACGTTTCGGACTGTGTTTGTTTTCTCATTTGCCTGGCGCATTGTGAGAAAGTCTAAAATATAGGTATGGTTATTAACTACCATCTTTATTTTCTGGCATCGTTTCTGTGAAAAATGCTTTTCAATCTTCGCTGACAAGCTTTTAGCATAAGGGTTTTCTGCATTGCTCCCAAATGGAACCCAAGCATTGCTGTCATCTAGAAAGTACCAGATATAATTGCTAGCCATAATGTTTAGATCTGCAACAGGCTCAGTACAAAGCCTTCGCAACTGCAATTTCTTATCTGACAAAGAGTTTGTAAGTTCTAATTTCTGGAAGTCTGCTTTCCAAACATCCCGTCCTAATATAGGCAGCAAACCATCAATGGGAGGACTTTGTGTTGATGGGTCCAAGCGAGGCAGAGTAATATTATCTTGTGCTGGATCACAGTAAGAAATCTCAAGACATTTTGCATGGAGGACTGGGAGGTTGTACCAATTGGGGGAAACTAAATCACTAATTTGCCATTGAAAATGCTGGGGGGCATGGAGGCGAGGACAACCGGTGGCTTCTTTTGCACACAAACCTTCCACAGAATCGCAGCATATTTCTTGAATGTCAACATTCCCCAGGACATCAACAGACCAACACGTCTTATAAATAAAAAAATCTTCAGTTTTGATCTGCTCCTTTTCATGGGTTTCATCCGGGCTTGCATCTTTAACTACACCTTTCAGTCTATCAGGTAGTGCATCGTTTAACTGTTTTGCCGTTTTTGGCTTGTTTGAAGTATCAGACTTTTCAGTGCTTGAATCTGCAGGTAAGGGTGGCCTACCATTTGCTGGATTTTTTGCTTTTTTTCGTACCCTCTTTTGCTTGTTTAAGGATGCAGTAATTGAATTTTCGGTTACTTTATCACGCTTTTCACCCTGAGGTGGTGTTACAGGTTTAGAATCAGATAAGTCAGGGCTGTCACTTACCAAACTGGTTACAACATTTATTTGTGAGTCATTTGTTGCTATACCATGGGTTCTGAATAGGAACTGGCACTGTTGAGTCATTAAACTGTGATTCAGTTGGCATTTCTTATGGTGAGTCCTCGCATCTCCCAATACAGATTTAGCACAGATGTGGAGTTTACCGCAGTTGGGGTTGTTGCATTGTTTGTTATTATACTCTTTGCAGATGCTTAACTGAGGTGGTCTAGTTGTTAATTTACTAGCATGTGGATGATTGATACCGGAAGAGTGTCAATGTGAATCTGTGTAAAAACTATATTGTTGTGGTTCGTCCGCCATGTATGACCAAGAAAGCACTGCCTTTCTGAGCACAAGTTGTGGACATACCTTGGGCATATATGGAGCTTGTTACAGGACCCCAATTTCTGACAACCTTCGAGCCCAAAATGCGATGG